AGAAACTATAAAGATTGCATTATTCATGACGTCATAAATCATAAACTTGAGAATGCTTTTCATTGACTGACAAGTCTGCTGCAGCAGCGTTTCTCATAACTGTACCATTCATTGGTGTAAAAACTTGCAGAAGGTGGGTGCTTTTATAAACAAAATGAAAAGATTTTGACAGTTAACACTGTGTAAGAAACCAGTAATTGTTGTTTGGGATGGTAAAAGCTTATCCTTTTGTGAAACATCCTTAGCTCAAATAATACATTGCCATCAATTTACAATTGTGTATTTGTTACAAATGAGATGTGAAAATTGAACGAAAAGCTGAATCAGGAGGTAAATATGTGAATATGCTATGCAATGATAGGATACTGAATTATTGCAGCTTGTGAGAGCATTCTGCTAGTTTTTCTGAACTAAAAGTAAAGTGAAAAGCAAACATTGTGCAACCATGTGCTCATTTTTACACGAAGCAGATGCATGAACTGTGTGATGTTGTCTGTGCAACAAGGATTTAAGAGCATACTATTTTTATATGAACCTATTACTGACAAGTAAAATGCACAAACAGTCACTTATCTGGGTTAAATATCATGTGAAATGTAGTGTTGACAAATAAGATTCTGTTATGTTTTCAGGTGAATCCAAATTTAAAATGTGTAGATCTGATAGCACTATGTAACTTTGAAAGTCTGGATCTGAAATTCTGTATTAGGCATAGAAAAGACAAGGTCTGTAAAAATATTGCTTGATATAGATCAGTGTTTTTCAACCTTTTTGAATACGCGACCCCTTTACAAGTTAAAAAATTCTGGCGACTCCCCCTAGGGCCATATTAAAACTACTGTATATCAGTGATTTTAAAAATTATGTATTTACTTTTCTTTCTGTTGAGAGAAATTATTGTTGATTAAAATGAGAATTTAAGAAGAATCCCAATAACTTAGACACGTATAGTATGAAACTTCCTTTTCATTATAACATTGGGCTCTGGGTGCTGTTGACCTTTTTAGGATGAGAGTTCTGAACTTCTACTTTTCTACTTATTACCTCTTTTTACAAGTCAGCTCAACACTTTTTCGGCTATCATTTTCTGGGGTGGGCGTACCCACCCAGGCCCCTCCCTGGCGACACCCATCGTTCAGACCTAAATGCCACCTACTGTAAATGATACTGATGTGACAGAAAACCAACAAGGTATTTATTTAAAAGTGATCATAAAAAATATTTATATTGATATTAAATACTTAAAAAAATCAAGATATTTTTAAAATGGTTTTTTATATTAAAAAATTACCCGCTCTTTTCCTGAAAGATAGTATTACTATAATATTACTTTGTATGGCTAACCTGTGGGCTGTCTGTGTTTAAAGGTTAGTTTGAAAGCAGGTGCAAATTATATAATGATAAGGTTGTCGATGAATTTTAATTCTCAGTTACTAACTCAGTAAGCATGTTTTTCTTTGTCTAAGAAGTGGGAACCTTTGTAGAAGTGGGAACCTTTTATAATAGGAAGGCTACATCTAATTTTAGAGGAATTTCATAAGTCTGTATATTGTACTGTGGATTACATAAGTACAGCAGAGCGTCATTTATCCGAATCAATTGGGGACTGGGGTTGTTTGGATAACTTATTTTTCAGATAACTGTTTATGTACGAAAAAATATATTAACCTATCTCATGTTGAAATTTTTCTCCGTTGTGTGTTGTTTTGCATTGAATTTTCGTCTATGTTAAGCCTAATGTAAATTTTTATAATAATAATCATGGCTATTGTATTGTTAAAAATTATTTCTTTATTTTGTACAAACAAAATAAATATATTGAAAAATATAAAAACAAAAAAATTATACTTTAGAAGTTAATCTAGTATCAAAAACGTTCGATTCATCACGACACACAGTACTCAGAAAAACACCACACAAAAGTGCCAGTGCTGCCAACTAAAACACACACACACCAACAAAAAAATATTGGAGTAGCTCAAGATATAGCCAAAGGTTGCAGCGCCACAGCACTAGTGAAAATTTAAATTTGCTGATTGGAATGCTTTCGGTTAACCGAGGTTTCGGTTGACCAGCTTTTGGATAAATGATGCTCTACTGTATATAAATTTAGTATATACAGTAGCAGCCATAGAAATTGCAACTTCCATTAAATCCTGTAAATGTGTGTTTATCTTTTAAATTAAAATATCATTTTGCTATAGTTTTGACGATTTTTACCTGAAGAAGGACCCAGGAGGGGTCTGAAAACGTTAGTAATGTTAAATTTATTCACATTGGTTAAAGGTTTTGGAGGTTTCCTAATATTTAGTAAACTCCGGTGTGTACGTTATCATTTTGCTATATATATATATATATATATATAGCATATATAATATTTTTTAAATTAAAATGATATTTTAATTTAAAAAATATAGTTTCTTACATATATATATATATATATGTATGAAAGATTGCATTATTCATGACGTCATAAATCATAAACCTGAGAATGCTTTTCATTGACTGACAAGTCTGCTGCAGCAGCGTTTCTCATAACTGTACCATTCATTGGTGTAAAAACTTGCAGAAGGTGGGTGCTTTTATAAACAAAATGAAAAGATTTTGACAGTTAACACTGTGTAAGAAACCAGTAATTGTTGTTTGGGATGGTAAAAGCTTATCCTTTTGTGAAACATCCTTAGCTCAAATAATACATTGCCATCAATTTACAATTGTGTATTTGTTACAAATGAGATGTGAAAATTGAACGAAAAGCTGAATCAGGAGGTAAATATGTGAATATGCTATGCAATGATAGGATACTGAATTATTGCAGCTTGTGAGAGCATTCTGCTAGTTTTTCTGAACTAAAAGTAAAGTGAAAAGCAAACATTGTGCAACCATGTGCTCATTTTTACACGAAGCAGATGCATGAACTGTGTGATGTTGTCTGTGCAACAAGGATTTAAGAGCATACTATTTTTATATGAACCTATTACTGACAAGTAAAATGCACAAACAGTCACTTATCTGGGTTAAATATCATGTGAAATGTAGTGTTGACAAATAAGATTCTGTTATGTTTTCAGGTGAATCCAAATTTAAAATGTGTAGATCTGATAGCACTATGTAACTTTGAAAGTCTGGATCTGAAATTCTGTATTAGGCATAGAAAAGACAAGGTCTGTAAAAATATTGCTTGATATAGATCAGTGTTTTTCAACCTTTTTGAATACGCGACCCCTTTACAAGTTAAAAAATTCTGGCGACTCCCCCTAGGGCCATATTAAAACTACTGTATATCAGTGATTTTAAAAATTATGTATTTACTTTTCTTTCTGTTGAGAGAAATTATTGTTGATTAAAATGAGAATTTAAGAAGAATCCCAATAACTTAGACACGTATAGTATGAAACTTCCTTTTCATTATAACATTGGGCTCTGGGTGCTGTTGACCTTTTTAGGATGAGAGTTCTGAACTTCTACTTTTCTACTTATTACCTCTTTTTACAAGTCAGCTCAACACTTTTTCGGCTATCATTTTCTGGGGTGGGCGTACCCACCCAGGCCCTTCCCTGGCGACACCCATCGTTCAGACCTAAATGCTGATAAAAAAAACCAATTGTACTGTATAATAAACAGGTACAGCCTTGTCGCTAAAATTGTAGTTTTTTTATTATGTAGTGCAGGACCTACAAACACTTGTCTTTTTCTTTTACCCGCGACCCCCTGTGTAAGGCTTCGTGACCCCCTTGGGGGTCGCGACCCACAGGTTGAAAAACACTAATATAGATAGTAAAGTTTTTATTTATTCAAATGGTATGTATAAGAATATGATATCATGAGCTGTATAATACTTGAAGGAACTCATCTACTCCACACCAGAATGCTGTAAAGCTATTATTAAGGCTTCAGGTGGCCTTACAAGGTATTAGAATCTTATTCAATGAGAAATAATTGTACATATGCTTTTTTAGGCCTACTTACACTGCCAGTTTTGGTTTTTTTTCCTTTCATAACGGTGGATGGCAATTCTTGCAACAGTATCATTAATGGTATTGGTGGTTATATGATGTGAAATAACATTTAAGTTTTATAGCATTATATGTAATAAATTGCATTTTGTTTTGGTTTCTTTGTGCTACATATATTACCATTACAATTTATGATTATATTTTAAATATTCAACTTTGCACATCTGTTGAATGCTTTTTGATATATATCACAAGTGATGCAATTTCTATGGCCATTATTGTAAATGCACATGAATAATCACAAACTAAGATGATAACTGATTTCCCTCGTACTTTTGGACTCAGATGAAATATGAAATGTTTTTTCATTTATAATAGACTGTTTTTTTTTATAATCCTGGAATTCTTTACAATGAGCAATGAAGGAATTACAATTCTGTAATCCTGCTATTGCAATCCTTAGACTAATGTCAGATGAGTATGAAAATGCATGGAAGCTGTTTTTTCCATTCATGGATATGAAATTTTATGGATAGAAAGGCAGTCGTTAGACGAGTGCTATTTTTCATGGAGCACGTTGGTAATCAGTTTCATTTCAGATGAGTGTATATGTCAACATGGATCTCATAGATTACAATGTACTGATTTTTTTTTTATGTACAGAAGTATTTAAAAACAAAAAAAGATGTAGGCAACATTGGGTACTTCCTTTTGATCATAACTGGCCTTCCTTTTTCTTATTTCTGTTTTTATAAAGTTCAAATAAAGTTTTTCTCAATTTAATACTATAAGCACAAGAAATTTAATGATTAAAGTGTTAACTTTCCCAAGCAATTTAATGGTTTTGGGCCAGAATCTATTGCCATTTAAAAATTTCTGCCTCAGAATAGTCTGAAAACAATTAAATTATATTGAATGTATATTAGTGAATAAAAATAAAAGAATATCTTATAGAATATATATATATTTAAATATATACATTCAAATATTTTGACTAAAAAATCAAATACATTTCTAAGCCTTACTTACATGTAACTATGATTTATTATACCATAAAAATCATTTATTATTGAAAAGCTATATTATTTCGAAAATGAAACTTTAATTTATTACTGATGATTGTAATTATAAAATTTTTAAAATTATAATAGTTCTATTGTAAATTGCTGGTTTTTTGCATAGTTTTATTAACACTTGAATTGAATTAGTATTGTTTGTAATCATATGTACTGTACATTACTTAAGGTTTTAATAGGTTATTTAAGTAAATTTGATGTAATATAAATTCAGTCTAATTATTGAGTTTAAATAATTAGTATAAATTTAATTCTTATATAATATTTTTATGATACACAATATGGGTAAGTTATATAATTCTTATATAATATTTTTATGATACACAATATGGGTAATCCCTGACTTATGACTGAGTTCTGTTTCAGAACTCCCATCACAAAGTTGAATTGGTTGTAAATCTAAATATATAAAATTACTTGTCCTGACTGACTGACTGACTGAGTCACTGATTCGTCATTGCGCAGAGCAAACTGCTGAACCTAAAGAGGTGAAATTTGGTACACAATTAGGGTACATCATGGAAATGCACGCTAAGAAGGGATTTTTCGAAATTTCCCCGCAGGGGAGAGGGAGAGCATTAAGGCTTAACCAGAAGAATGTCTTCTACTGTACTATTTTAGATGCAATTTTTTGTTTTCAATAACGTTTAGTCTTCATTAAGTACTTAGGTGTGTTAAATTGATAATATTTCAGACATTGTTATAAATATTTTTATATATTTTGATTTTTTAACCAAATGTTCAAACTGTTTTAAATCCGAATTTATTATTGCATATTGGTTTGATAATAGAACGATTGTAAATGTTCCAGAAAATTGATCAAATTGAAAATAGTTTGTTTGATTCTCAGCAGTAGGTGTTATATAACAATTACTATGGTTGTTGAAATACTGAATATAAATGGGGTTTGCTTGCAAAACCTCTGCGGGTGAAGTCATGGGTAACAGGTAGTTGAACATAAAAAAATAATGGTGATTATGGGTATTGTTTCCAAATCTGTCATAATCCTATATAATATTGAATAAGTATATATATTATAATCATTTATTGTGTATATATATTGTAATACAATACTCTGATGATGATTAAGTATATTGTATTTCAAACTAACACTTAACATTTTAATTAATTATTGTGTTTTATTAACAAAGTGTAACTAACACATGTAGTTGTGATCACATTCAAAGAATCAACAATCATATCTTCACATAGAATTAATTTTATTTTTATTGTTAATTTTTATTTATTATTTTCGTGGCTGTTATATATACATAATATGGAAAAGTATTGGAATCAATACTTTTCCATATTATGTCAAATTTGACCCTCTGGGGTTTTTGCAAGTCATTTGCAAATCTCCAATCATTTGTTATCCTATTTTTGACCCGTATTGAGAAGTTTGCATTCAGAAAGAAAGTAAAAAAAAAAGGATCCATGTATGTCTATGAATTGGCATCTATTTCATTTAATATCTCAGGATGGGATAAAGATTAAGAAACCAAACCAAATTTGACATAATAACTTGAATATAACAGGCATTGATGCTATTAAAGTTTGGTTACTGGTTGAGGGAATGGGAAGAAAGAGGGGTCATGTGTCATATCTTAAGCACAGTCAGACTTAATGAAAATTTTACTTATTTGCATTTACAACTGTTTATGAAACTCATCCCCAGTCTCAAAATTAAGCCTTTTACCTATTTTTAATAATTAATAATATAAAAGTTATTTTTAGTAAAATTTCAGAACAGATGATGCTTCACACAATTTTATTTATTTAATTAATAATATAAAAGCTTTTGTAAATAAAATCTCATAATAGCTGGGAAAATTGTGCAACTTGTTGTTGGATGTTTTAATTGGGCTGCAATTTGAAAAAATTGTAGACCTATAAATTCCCATTGTCTGCCCATCTGTCTTTTCTTAATCTCAAGAATGGAGTTAGATGAATATCAAGACCAGATATGGAAAGTTTAGGGGCAGGAGGCCTCGATTAACTATATATGAACTTCTGATGCAAACCGAAAGTCACGTTATTTCAATTCAAAACTTCCCTCTGAAAGGAGTGAGTTAGATGACTGGCACGACTATATTGCTAATAGGAAAAGTATGATGTACAGAGGCAAGACACTACTAATTTGAGGTGGCATGCATATATTTTAAATTAAATAAATTAAAAAAATATGATTAAAAATTGCAGCCTGGCATTGTGACAATGTCACAATAATTTATTATTAATTCATTTTAAGCTTGCTAGAGAGTTGAAATTAGGATGACCATCTGGATTAAAAATTAGTTTGTTGCATGTAGTGTTTCTCAAACGGGATTCCGGGATCCCGGTTGTTTTTTTAACCTGGGAAATATCCCAGGAAATTTTTCTTATCCCGCGAAATCCCGCAAATTTCTTAAAAATTCACTTTTTTTCTTATTTTGTGTTAAGGTTAAGAAATTTTGCAAATAGAAAGCATAATTATCTCATTCACTGTCAGAATACATTTGTATTTATTAACTTTAAACCTACCTATTAGTTTTTTTTTTAAATTTTTGCTCGTTATAGCATGTCACAAATGGTCAATAATCAATATATAGCTTATTTGTGGCAGGACTATAAAAATTCTTTACTTGTCGGAACCTGTAATATCTGGAATAATTGTGCTTACGCTGTCTTGAGTTTTAACCATGCCCAGTAGCTTCAAT